CATCTATTTAGTAGCTTTAGCCCAGGGGGCTGAACTGCATCTTTTTTTGTTTTTCCTATAGAAATCTGGCCAATATTTGAAGAGAATAGATGTTTACATTTGTAATCAGAAAAACTAAACTTCTTAATATGTACGAAAGGAGAATGGCTTTTTGAGTCTCCAGAAGGATGTGCAGTCCTGCAGTAACCTTAGTATAAGATTCCAGTCCATTCCTCAGTTCCCCTTCAAAGTTTAGTGGGCAGCAGGAAGACCGACAGAGCTCTGGAAACTGCCTCCTGTTTCACAGACGCCACTACAAAGTACTAGATTGAAAATAGGAACCTGCTTTCCACAAACAAGAAAGCTCTGCAAAAGTAAGAAAGTCAGAAGATAATATTATCCATCTCAGCAGTAACCAGAATCTAAGAGAATGGAGGGATTCTTTGGTTTCCAATTCAAGAAAACGTGTATATAAGATTTAGAAAAGGTCTCCAAACCCCTTCCAGCAACAAGTCACAATTTTATTTTGTGGAGCTTATACACGGGCTGTCTTCATAAAAATTTTAAATTATACAGATTCTACTTTCTCTACTTCTATAGCATATTTTTCTGGTAATTCAATCAGTTCATTTTCAAGGGTTGCCCATGTCATCATAAGTATCCCAGTATATTCCTCCTGCCTTCCTCTCCCCCCCCCCTTTTTTTTTTTTTTTTTTTTTTTTAAGTCTCAGGAGAATGCCTACTTGAGCAACTCGGCAGAATGGACAGTAATTGTAAGGGGGCAGCAGGAAAAGGAAGAAGCAGTAGGGACACAAAGCTGAGCTAGGGAATTAAACTAAGTATTCAGAAAAAGAAAAAAAAATGTTTGGATCAGTCCCCTGTTCTGAAGAACTAAAATATAATGGCCTTGGTGCTATTATTGGTGCTTTCTCCCTGGATTACTAATAGATTGGGCAAAAGGTAGGGAATTTAAAAAGGATCTAGTATTATCAACATATAAATTTATGAGATACTACTTCTTATAAATAGTGAGTAGCAAAAAAAAGCCACAGCATACTATATGATTAGAGAGGAGAAAATGTCGTGCTTACCTGTAAGAAAGGAGAAAGTAACCTTACCCCTGACTTCAGAGTATGAACAGTTTTTTTTTTTTTAATTAAAAGTTAACTAAAGATAAGAAGGGTAAATTAAAAAAGAAAACAGGATAATTTCAACTTTATTTTAAAAGATACATCCATTTAGTGTGGATCAAATGAGTTAACTTATAAAAGCAAAACACTAAGGTAAAGAAAATCCAGAGTCCAATCTCTCTAGATTTTAGAAAAGAATTTGATATGGTACCACCTGACACTATTTATTGAGCTGGAAAAGATAGGAAGCAACACAAGAATAAAGCAGATATAAAACTGGCTAAAGAAGACATAATGGCTGGACTTAAAATCCTTCTTTAGACTGATTTTATTTCATGTCTTCATGTCTTGACATAAAAATAGAGATGTTTTGATAAAATCTGATATCAAGAGGTACTGTTGATATGGTGGTGCTCTGACTATCTTACAGAGGAAATTGGAGGACCTTTGGAATTGGCAAATTATAAATGGAAAAGGATGTAGCAACTCTTCAATTCTTCATGCATTAGGATTACAAATAGCATAATTTCTGCTATTATGTGGTGTATTATTTGCAAACAACAAGAGAAGAGAAATCACACCCATGTCTAGTTGACTGCAAGAAGATAAAGCCAACCTGATATACCTGTAAAACAAACCTGATCTTCATCAACGTCTTATAATGGGCTTTTAGTAGACCAAGTGAAGCACTAGCAAAATTATTCAAGACTCTGAGGAAACACTTCACCAACAAGGTATTTGAAGGAGGTGAGCCATGCTCAGAATACAGGACTACCATGTTACTAGGCTCTGTATCTTCCCATTTATTTTATTTTAGCAGACAGACTAAAAAGTGCTTGCTTTGGCTTCTTCGATCTAGCACATGAAAGCTGAGGAAGGCACATGATCACTGATTATAATATGCTCAAGGTACACACCAAGGAAGGAGTTCTCTTTACAGAACAATACTGAGACATGAGAAACTGGGAATGAAAGAATGTATTTTGGATGGAAAATAAAAGAAAGTTCTAAACATTGCGAGAGAGGTTTGAAACATCCTTCGAAAAAAAACAACGGGGCAAAATACTTAACTAGCATTAAGGTAGACTGTAGTGCATTTATGACAGGGATTAGATGTTTGCCTAACCAGGAAAGGCCTCTTCTCTAGGCTTATGTCACTATTAGTAGAACTGCTCCCTAACCTGTTCCCCTCCCACCACAGTTTTTTTATTCCCACTAAAGTTCGATGGGGGCTACAGGAGGACTACAATTAACCTTTGAAGAAAAATGTCTTAAGACTTAACCTGCTACCCCACTAGCTTACCTGTGTTTGTAGAATATCCCACTAAAGGAGAGGACTTGAAACTCTCCTTGAGATCAAAAGATTTAATCAGCAACGAAACAGAACAGAGCATTGCAAACATACTGAAATAATATTGCCTCTTTAGGTCTTCACTAAATATTTGTCATCCTTGTCAGTTTAACAGATTCCTGCTTACTATAAACAGTCAAAAAAGAAATTTGATTGTACTCTGTGCACACAAGCCTAAGATGCTGGCATTACCCTTTCTTTACTGATGATGCTGTCTGAAAACTTCACAAAAGCCTCTGCTAAGACATACAGCTACACACCCCTGTGTAATATGCTACTTTTATGTTAATCATCAAACAACCTGCTCAAAACTTTTCTTATATCAAGTGCCAAAAAGCAATATGTAATTCAAAACAAGAGCTACAGAATACAAAAGAGAGCATATTCACATGACACTACAAATATGGACCAGATGTCAGATAGTGATTTTATAAACTACCAGCATATTAAGCAATGTTGCAGTCCACTAAATCTGATCCATTCAGCTTCTTTTGAAACTGCGTTCATCGAGAAACATGCAGCACTACGATTTCATGACTTTGAAAACGCACACTCAATTTGTTGCAAAAGTTGAAAAGGCAGGTGGATCTGTTATCTACTGAAGTCACTGAACCCAAGATCTCCAGTCTGTCGTTAATGTAGGCACAGTAAAGCGTAGTGACTGTAAATATGTTTCCCTATATCCTTCTGGCTGACCAATGATTTTTTTTCATTTTAGAATAGAAAAGAAGTAAATGCATTTGCAAGATAACTTGATCCACACTTTGGCAATCAAACATAAATTTCACTTCAAATGTACACAGCAATGAAAACTCAAGCAATGATAGAAGTTACTCATATCACACACAACGGGGAAGTTCTGAATAACGAGGGATCCACTTAGCCAGAGCACAGGCCAGAACAATGTCAGTTAAACAGAAAAAGCGTTTCCCGTACAATGCTATCTCAGACCAACAGATGGCCACCACTCAGTACACTCTAACCACTTTGGGCATTGTTGTTCATGATGGCATTTCCACTTAGAAGAGTTGAAGAGAAGAAAACAAATTGCTTTCCTACTCCAAGTCAAAGACAAAACTAAGGAAGTCCACCTTTACTGACTGTCATTTGAGCTCTACTTTCTCTTTTCTGCGATAAACTAGATTTTCCACAATAAAGTCTTTGTTAATTGGTTGCTTATCGATTAGACAGAAACCTCCACCTTAAATGTCATAAACAGCTATATATTTGAGTTATTCAAAAACATGGAGTACTGCAGCAAATGGATTTGAAATAAAGACTCCATTTCAAAACATTTCTTCCCCTCTTGTCTCCTTTAAATTTTTTGTCTTTTTACTTCTGGCTTGTGCTTGTTTTTGATTCCCTTATTCTATAGCTGTAGAACCATGGAATGACAACTACTGCAGATGTGCCTGCCTTCAAAGTAAGCACATTTAGTGTTTAGGCTATAACCTAGCTGGTAAGTTTTTTCTTACCTCTTAGGTTTCTGGGTTATTAGGTTATTAGTTTATTTCACTAGTATAGCCCTCTTTTGCTACACATACACACTTTTACAATAAACCTACAACTTCTGAAACTTAAAAATCACTGTTGAAGAATACAAACTCCTCAATTCCCTCATTCAGATTATATGACTTAATGCAGTCTTAAGCTACAACACATAACATCTTCCATTTAATCAGAAAGCAGTATTTGTATATAATTCGAGCAACAAAAGCTTCATAACATTTGCTATTTACAGTAGTACTGAAAACATGATAGGCTACTAATATAACTAACCCTGATCTAAATTAGTTCCATCTGAAATAACAAGAATCTGTCTAGTTTTGTCAGCAACAAACTAGTCAAATACAGGAAAATTCACTGATGTCATAAAAGTAAGATTCAATTACTAATAATTTCTAGAATATGAAACCAAGATCTTTTCAGCCCAAAAATCCCATTTCCTAATTAACGAAGAAATACCAGCCACAGAAATAAGCATCCCTCAAAGCAAGCATCAGAATGAATAGCAGTTCTCCCCAGTTCAGCTCATTTACCTGGTGAGTATCAAGAACTGTTAAAATATCGCCCCAGCAGCAGTAAGCAAAAATCTTTGAAGTAGCTTATTGCATTTGTAAAGGTTTATTCAAACGATGGAAACAATCAATACAGACAACGCAGGGATTTTGTTGTTGTTGGGAAAGTCAACCTTTTTGATGAAAGTTGTGGTCTCCCCACTCCGAGTTTTCTCCATTTTGCATATCAGAAAACACGATTTTGTACTGACCGAAAACTGAAAGTAAAATTTAACAGCCTAGTTATTCTCACTTTTTCCAAGTGTAGCAAAAATAAGAGGGCATACATGAATCTAAAGCATTATTCTTACACTGACTGGCAACCACCTCCGACTCTGCAAGAAATTTCAGGATATACTGTGCAAATCACTGTTACGTGCTCTAAAAGTACTTTCTATTTAATCAGACGCGGGGAAAAAAAAATTCCCCACAATAAACAACTACAGATCAGTTTTAAACGAAATGAGGTAGTTTACATCTGACCTGAGTTTCTGCCTTTTCCTAGGGGGAAACACAAACTCGGCGTCGGGGTACATAATCCTGCCGCTCTGGGCAGCCGGCTCCGCCGCGCACACTTCACATGATTTATAGCTCTCCTCCCGATTCAGACGACAAGCCTCGACGGAGCAGGTGCAAAGGGGTATTCTTCCTTCCTTCTGAGATAATTTCCTCCTGTGTAAATTAATTAGCAAGTCCTCATCACTCCCGCGTAAGCGGGGAACATGAAGCTAATGGATTATCAGCGTTTAATTTCTCATGCGGAGCGGGGTAAATGACCCGGCGGCGGGGCGGGCGAGGGGGAGGCAGCGCTGTTACTGCTGAAGTCGCAGCGTTTTTGACAGCGGCAACGGCGACAGAAGTGAAACCGGCCCCGGCAGAGTTGCGCCGGGAGAGCGATTTTTAAGCCAGGAGCAGCATCGCGGGGCGGAGGAGGGGAGGGGACCGCGCGGCGCGACCCCCGCAGCGCCAACGCGCGCTTCGCCCCCTGC